ATGTATGTATGTATGTATGTATGCTAACAACGAAAAGATAAATACAATACCACAGAAACGATATTACAAGAGGGTTATGCTAAACAGTGAAAACTGCATAGCACTAATAAACTTGAACATAACTGGTTTGAGTGGCCGTATAAACGGGGTAAAATTACAAAGGATTATACGGGTTGGAATTTCAGAATGTGGCTGTCGGCCGTATTAACGGGATGGCCGCATTAACGGGATTTTCAGTCTTAGAAGAATGTATGGGCCTTAGTCGGGACAAAAAAGGGTGGCCGTATTGACGAGGTGACCGTAAGCTGGTAAGGTGGGGTTCTTCGCACATCTCTAATTAACTTAAGTTGTATAGTATTGCTAATGTCAAATGACAGACATGGCATTCACCGCTTCGTACCCATGCTCCGTTACATTTCGTGCCGGGTAAGGTAAAGAGCGGGAAAAGTAGAAGCGCAGCGTTTGTCCCACAACTCCGCGCGCAAATAGTGAAAAAGTTTGTCTTCCAAATAAGCCGAGAAGGCAACAAATTGAAAGTTATGAGAAAAATTAATTATCGTGGGTAGACCATGCACGTAACAAAAGCCAGACACTCTTTCCACGAGGTTTCTGAAACTAACTTCGCAAATCTTAGGGAACTTCCAATTCGTTCTTTACGTCTTGAATGCTGCTTGCTTGTATCATTTACCTTTAGTTCTCAATATATGAACTTATTTTGATGAAAGTGTCACATCTGTGTCTTGTTGCTGCCCCCCACCCTAAAGAGATGTGGTAAATATGTTACTGGTTTCTTTACCTTTCTCTATTGTAGAATCTATTCCTCATGCTTGGATCGTGTACAATAAGTATATTCTGCCTCTCCCAAGTGCCTCACCGCGGGACGTGTGTCTGCAGAGGATGTGGATGCCCTCGTACTTAACTAGAAATGGGACATCAGGTATTTGACTTTTTTATATACTGTAACTTATTTGCATACACGTTTGGCTTATATACCTATTGTAATAGGTAAAAACGTTGGAAAACTGCAATGATGCTGGAAACATTTTCGCGCAACCTGTTGTGCGGCGGCTTGGAATTATGAGTTGCAAGCTCGTGTTGCATTCAGTGAAAAGTTATTCGTTTCTTTTTCCTTCAACCCAAACCCAGGTGAAAGACACTCTCCTCTGGGTTTAGGTCAAAGAAACGACTGACTTTTCAGGCTTTCGGCTCCCAGCCTTAAAAAAAAAAAAATTACAATATTTAGAGACAAAGCCACATCAGCCTAAGCTGGTTTCCGTGCGGGTCCGTCTATCCTGGTCCAATTGGAATTTGGAGTGTTGGTTTTTGGCAATTTTTACTGACAATCCTTGGCGAAAAGCACTTTAGAAATCATTTTAACGGAACCTGGTGCAGTCGAACTAAAACCTGGCTTAGACTTTAGGTTTGAGATTTTTTGGCTGCTCCGATGAGTCCCTCGCCAATTGTAAGTGTTAAAATCAAGCTTCTGTCTTGTTTACTTCATATTATCTTGCAGGAATGGTTTTATGGTCAACGCATCACTCGCAAATCCCACAACAACAGGTAAGTGTGTTTGGAACAAGTAATATTAGGCAGGATGTCTTGTCCAACAGTGGACTGAGCCAGCAGTTTTTCGACACCAGCGTTACCTAGTATTGTGACGTTTTGTAGTGACGACAAGCTGACGTCACAAATTTTGATTCTGTTGGTCTAAGTCTATGGCCAAACGGACTCGCAAGTAGCCGCAAGTTGAACTTGCGTTGGGTGGTTAAACGGACTAGTAAGTTTCCTCGTAAGTACACGCAAGTCGCCAAAAAAAAAACCATTTCAAGGCTTTCAAGGCTGTATTTCACTGGCTAATATAGGTTACTATAACAACGAATGGGTGTCACTCAACTTGCGTTGACTTGGGTTGGGTGGCCAAACGGTGAAAAACTTGCGTCGACTTGCGTACAAATTTGATCTCGACCAAAGTGAGCGCAAGTCATCGCAGGTCAACGCAAGTGCACGCAAAGCCTGACCAAGTAGACCTACTTGGATCTACTTGCGAGTCCATTTGGCCGGCATACTGTGTTTATTTTGGCCGGCATGCTGTGTGCCCGTTTGGCTAGGGCATAATTGGTTAGTGGCTTAATTTACGCGGGAATCATGGCTGATTTGTCTGTACCCTAATTATAGCCCAGAGTGTAATGGCTTATAATTAATCTAATAAGCACACTTTTGTCTCTATGTTTACTTTACTGATACGCTGTTCTTTGACACGATTTTATGAAGTTACTAATTTTTTTATTTGGCATCAGTTTAAACAGTATTACCGCCCTTTTGGTAGGCTTCTAGAAATAGCTTCCCGCCCTCCTCGACTAACAGATCTACCGTCAGATAGATGTATTTTTAATCAAAGCGAACAGGAAATGTCAACTCAAGGGCGATAATATCGCTTGAAATGTCGGCAAATTCCGTGAAATCTTAGCTGAAAACAAATAAAGAAGATTCTGTTTAATCTTTAGTTATTTTGACTATCCGGCTTATTTTGCGCCTTGATTGTATTAACTTCGTTTTTCTCTAATTTCAAAGCAAAGTGGAGAGTTTCGTTCAATTTAAAAAACCTAACGTCATACATTATTCGTTTTAAAAACATTAGCCCTAATTTTTCAAGCTTGTGGATTGCTAATGCTTCTCAATCTCCCTCGGTATTAGGCATTCTTACTCGTGTGGTTCATTTCTTTTGGTGTTTTTTTTTTTCTACCTAAGTAAACTGCTGTTTTGAAGTTCCTCCAGTTTTACTGTGTATCGTGACTTACCGTCTCTAAAGACGTGTTTGCATGATTGTATGTGACCTGCACGCGATAGAAGATTCTTCCAGGTGGTCCATCAAAGCATAAGATCGGTGTAACTATGCACTTGTGGCATTGCGCGTGATGATGTGATAATAATGGATCACTTTTGGTTAATCTTCAGACGAGTTTTAAGGTGCGGGTGTTGTGATAATTTGATGACATGTGTTTTTTTTATGTCTTATTTTTAGGGTTTCACCAGAGTATTGGCAGGTTTGTCGGGATTTGTATTATCGCCTATAACTACATCAGGTAATATGTCTTTCGTATACAGTTCGCACCGCCTCGGCGGGATTGGGAGACAACACCTTCTTTTGTGTTCCGACAGCCAGCTCGTGTTTTTAGCCTCCTCACTGTGACACCAAACGCGAGGCTGCTGGCAAATTATGTGTTCTGGAATATCTCAAGATTCACGTGATTCTGCGAGTGATCGCACGCTTCGTAGAGCATATGATTATTCATTCTCTCTAATCCCGGAAGTGGTGATAAAAAATAGACCTGAATAAATTGGTCGGTACGGCCACAGAGATCTGTTTGAAGATAATCCCATTCGAGGTCAAAGATTCACTTTGCTTCACTTGTAACTTGGCAATTAGGAATCCAAGGTATTAAAGCCCTTTTCTTTCACCCATGCTGAGGATCACCCGAAGATTTTCGAACGTAACCGAAGATTGCGCAAAAAAGACTAATTGCCGAACATTGCCGAATGTTCTTCACGAGTACCCGAGGACTTCCGAAAATTGACGAGAACGTCAACACGTCCTGCTATCATTAAAAATCTATACTTAATTTGAATCTCTCTTTAAGCTTCCAAGATATTTTAAACTAAGACACTTTAGGGGAAACAATCTAATCTTTAGCATTGCTTTTGTAAGGCCATAAGCTTTATTTACTTCCTTCAACAGGATTGTTTCCCTCAAAGGAAACTTGTTATACCATGCCCGTGGCATGTCTTTCATCTGCCTTTTGCGTTTAGCTGATCAAATTCTGGGTTAGGTTCCCCTCTCTCAAGAGACCCCCTGTCTGTGAAGTTCGCAATGAATTTAACATCGCCCTCTTAGTCTTTTTAAGGATAATTATATCGTTTCGGGTAGCTCATTTTCGTTGTTTTTCCAGGCTCCTTAACGCACACGAATGCAGTATTGCTAGTTCAAATTGATGTTCAAGACTCGTTGCAGACAATGCTGGAAGGTAGCTACAAATCAGGTAAATACAAACGGTTATCATTCAATCATGGAAAACAACAACTCTACGTTAATGTTTTAAGTGGAGGCAGTGTTGCCTAGTGATCCGCTGGATGTGTGATCCGGGGGCCCCGAGTTCAAATCCTCCTCCCTGCCACTAGATGGATTTGTGGTTTGTGGTCCCAGATTCAACTCTTCCCCGCTTTGTAAATAGCCAACTGGTCAGCCTCCCACCAGTTGGGTTTTTTAACAAGTTTCTCTTCAATTTACAATTTTTGTTTGCTTGTTTCAGTGTCCTCAATTAGTACAGTAGTGTTAGACACTTCGGCACTTAAATAAATTGTTTTTTTCTCATCTGTTTTGCTTTTGTTTGCTAGGTCTTTTAAAGATTGGTCTAAGAACTGCTTTTGCTCACATAAGTCACTTGGTGGAACAGTACTATGAGTACATTCAAGGATAGCGGAATAATAAAACGCTTTCGTGTTTAAATTGATAGAAGTAACAAGTTTTAACTTAATAGACCGCAAATGCGTCGATGAATTTTGTATAGAACGTTTTCGTATAGAAACATGAAGAAAAAAAGAAATAATGTAGTAATATATGACACTTGAGTTTATTTAAAAATAATAAAGTAATTAAAGATTCACATAAGTGGTTGCTGTAGGCTGCATGGTTCTTGGTTGAGAGGCGATACTTTCAGAAAGCATAATAAGGGTTCTTCCTCTCTCCCCTCCCCTCCCGACACACACTCCCCCCCCCCATATTCTCTCGCTGTTGACCGATTTGATAACAATTCGCGCGAGTAAAACCTCTATTTTGGTCCAATTTCAATTCTGCTTTGTGGTAATTTACAACAAGCTCGCTTAGAATATTTTTTCAAGATAGATGTGGACAAACAGTCGTACAAGCAGAAGAGCACCCGAGGGTTTTACGATAGTTTTTCACACTTATTACAAAACAGTTGTTTGCTGATGCAGGGATTTTCTAACATCGAAATTTCCTGTTCCGTTCTTTTCTTGCCTGCCAGGGCCACCAATTACTACTCTGAAAACATGACTCTGAAATTTCAAAGTGAGTTTTCTCCCTTTGAAATTAAAACAAATTTTATCGTTAGGTTTTTCACTCATGGACTGAAGGGCCATTGAAATACCAAAGCGCGGAGAATTAGTTGAGGTTGGAGGCTTAAAACTTTGTTTGCACGATGCACTGCTGTAAAAAACAAAAACAACAAACAAACGATGCACTCCTGTAAACTATATTTCCTGTCGTATGGAGACGGGAGGATAGAGAGGCAAATGGGG